GGGAATCCCAAGGTGTTCCCAGACTAGCTGAGAAACATAGTCCCTCCAGTGTGTCCTGCGTCTTCCTCTGGGTCTCCTCCCAGTGGGACGAGCCCAGAACACCTCACCAGGGAGGCATCCAGGACAGGCGTCTCCAACCAGTAGCTCATGAGTTCATTTAAAGTAGCCCTTCAGTGCTAAATTTAATTTGTCACCAGCTAAACAATCTTTCATTTAATTCCAATCAATCTTTAGGTGTCCCTTCCCCTTGGTTGTCAACCAAACAGTTTAGTGCTCTGTATGGTCGATTGGTAGACGACGTGCGGTTACGTGGTTGTTTAGTGTTTGTTTTCGCACACACCTTTCATAGCCCCTTGAGACTGTGCCAAACTCCTGGGAAACTGTCCCACTGTGGTATATGTCACTACAGGGGGTTTCTTCCCACAATGCGGAAACAAATCGGAGACTTTCACCCGACGTTATTTGTGCACAAATCTGTTGCAGTTAACAGCTAAGTTAATAGTGTGAAATACAGTGTAATATGAATGGATGAACACAAAAAGCACATTCATGTAAATTCAGTGTCTTTGTGGTGGTTTCGTGTGAAGTGAAGACAACGTTTTTTGTGCAAAGCAAGCTTATTTCAATGGTTTAAGTTTAAAATTTAATGTCGCAAAATGGAGCTCTCGGACAATTTCATTTTGTGAAAGTAGCTCTTAAGGAAACAAAGGTTGGAGAACCCTGGTCCAGGAGGCCTCCTAACCAGATGAGCCACCTCAACTGGCTCCTCTCAACGTGGAGGAGCAGCGGCTCTACTCTGAGCTGCTTGTATCTGCAATCTTTTTCTTTCGGTCACTACCCAAAGCTCGTGACCATAGATGAGGGAAGAGCTAAAAGAAAAGGATAAACAGATTTATTTGAACTGTATCATTTTATCTATATTATATTGAATCTCATATATTTTCTTTTATTGTAATACAAATGTAAATCAGATCCTATTGAACCAGATCATATTGAATCTGATTTTTGTCAACATAAACTGAATTGTATTGCATCATAATTAATGTAACTGTATAAACTGTATCTCATTAAACTGTTTAGCAGTAAGTGATTGGATCATATACTGAACTGTTTTTTAGTGAATAGTATCAGTACTCCATGATATAATCTCAACTTATATGGGACACTGTTCCTGACTACCTGAGAGCTCCAGAATGGGTTTCTATAAAAACAGCTTAAAGATTTTTCTTTTAAACTAGCCTATTCTGCCTCTGCGAGTGGTTTTTAATGATTTTAGATATATTTTTAAAGAGCTTAAAAATCAAGCTTTTTTTTTTTTCAAATTTAGCAGTTCTTGTTATTAATGTAATTATTGTTCTCTTGTTTTTACTAGTTTTATCTACACGGCAAAAACAGGAGTGTTAAAATGTCAGTGTTAAACTTTTGGGTGTTGATTTAACACCCCCTAGTGTTATTTTAACACTTTCTGAGTACACCCAGTGTTGTTGTTAATTCACAGTGTTGATTTCCTCAGTGTTGTCTCAACACTGGACAGTGTTAAATAAGCTCCGCCCACAGTTAAGCCTTATATAACACTTAACAGTGTTGAAAGAAGTTTTCTGAAAAGCCCCGCCTTCTTCCACCTCATGTCAAACAGACCAGTATTTACCCAGCATTCCTTGCTGAGAAATCTTACAGAAATTATGTTTTTGCTTGTTTATGACTATTAAATAAGTTCATGAGAGTAAAAATTAGTTGTTCTGGTTAGTTTTCTTGTTCAGTTTGATCAAGTTGTTCAACTTTAAGTTTATGTTTTTGGCCAAAAATCAACACCATGAGTGAGAGGTTTGTCCTGGTGTGTGAAGGGTGACACCATTACACTCTGAAAATGAAATGTTGGATTTACTTAACCATGTTATGTGACCTGGTTCCACTTAACTGAGTTGAGTAAATTCAAAGCAACATGCTCATGTTCTTTGGTTAAAAAACTGGTATGTTGCTTTGAATTTACTCAACTCAGTTAAGTGGAACCAGGTCACATAACATGGTTAAGTAAATCCAACATTTCCTTTTTTACAGTGATTAAGTGTTGATGCAACACACCCCAGAGTTTGATTTTAACTCTGAGTGTTAAATTTACACTCTCAATTTGATAGTGTATTGACACCTTGTGGTGTCTGTTAACCATTCAAACACCACAATTTCCTTTGTTAAGTGAATAAATAATACAATGGTGATACTTTTAAAACTGTATTTTAACACTGTTGAAATGTTACTGACACCCAGCATTGTTGAACATTAAACACTGGCTGGTGTTACATTTAACAGTTTATTTTAACACTATATTTTAACACTAACACTATTTTTATGTTAATGTGACACCAAGAATTGATAAATATTAAACACTGGTTGGTGTTAAATTAACAAAAAAAATGAGTGTTAAATTTTAACACTTTCATTAATGTTATTTTAACAGCAGCGAGTGTGGGCACATATAGACACTTTGTTGGTGTTAAAATTAACACTGTGGGTGTTAAATTAACACTGTGGGTGTTAAATTAACACTGTGGGTGTTAAAATTAACACTGTGGGTGTTAAATTAACACTGTGGGTGTTAAATTAACACTGTGGGTGTTAAATTAACACTGTGGGTGTTAAATTAACACTGTGGGTGTTAAAATTAACACTGTGGGTGTTAAATTAACACTGTGGGTGTTAAATTAACACTGTGGGTGTTAAATTAACACTGTGGGTGTTAAATTAACACTGGCATTTTTGCTGTGTACTGTGTTTTGCTGTTTTGTAGCACAGCTTCAATGAATCGTACTGTTGCTTGCTGTGTTCAGTGGTATCATGTTAAATTCTGTCATTTGAATCATATTATACTGAAATGATAACAAACAGTATCTGTTCCATCAGTGACTAAAGAACCTGATCAGAAAAGAGGCAAAACAGGCAGACTGGTTACAGGTAGACAAGTAGGTAAGGTCTGTGTTTCTGTAGATTTGTGTGGACTGGTATTCCCTACGTTGTGGGACAGTTTTTTTACTTACGGGGACCTGAGTCTAGTCCCCTTAAAGGGAAACACTGTTGGTGTGTCGCGGGTTAAGTTTAGGACCAAGGTGTGAATTGAGTTTAGGTTAGTTTTAGGGTCAGGTAGGTACCTGTGAGGTTAGCCTTAGGGTTTATGGTCAGGGTTAGGCTGTAGAAATGTAATGGAAGTCAATGGAATGTCCCCGTGTGTGTGTGTGTGTGTGTGTGTGTGTGTGTGTGTGT